ACCTGCTGGTCCTAGAAAGGCTTGCACTGCCTATGAGCTGTGCAGGGGCTTGAGCACCAGCAACACAGGGCTCCGGGCGTCCCAGGAGAAGACCCCAGCACCCACGAGAGCCAGCTGCACCGCACCCACCCTCCCCTCTCACTGGCCAAAACTGGGCTCACACGATAAGGGGAGAGATCTTTGCAGCAGGATGCGGCCCTGCAGCAGGGACACCAGGGGCGAGGGGGTGCAGCGGGAGAGCCGAAGTTTTTCCATGCCGATAAAGCCAGGCTGTCCGCTTGCCCCCGTTTCCGCACCCCACCCAGCCACAGCGCCCACGGCTGGCCCCCCGCAGGGCCTGACTTCTGGCATCTGCCGAGCCCACGCGCTGCCTGGCCGGTACCCACAATCTGGGCACACGCAGCTTTGCCAAATTCCACCAGAGTTTTTTTTTATTTTTTATTTTTTTTTTTTTCCCCCCGCTAAGAGCTTCACTAAGCAGCCTGTGAACTGACTTAACAAGTATGGCAGAAATATGCCACTGTTTCAGACGAGAACTTTTGTGGCACTTGGGAAGGTTATTTATAGCCTCGAGCAAGCAATCCCGGGCTAAATCATGCTGCAGCTTTGCTCGGGGCTGAGCAGCCCTGACAGAGCACACCGTACTCCAGAGCTGTCAGTACAAACAGCCCCCGAATAAAGCTGCCAAGTCTCTCCCAGTCAGCTAAAGAGGTGCAGAGCTTCACACAACCTGTCTTCGGCTTCCCAGCCCTCCGGGAAAGGGGAACCTCGCTGGGAAGGGAGCCTGGAGCAGAAGAGGGGAACTGAAGACCCCGGCCGGAGCTGCCTGCAACTCAACTCACTTCAAACACTTTTCTGTATGGCCCCTACGTACATAAAAACATACCCAAGAGCGGAAACACACGTGCATTTGCTGCTTAGCATTGACCTGAGGCTATAAGCCCTTTCCTGCCCAATACAGCAATTACCTTGGCAGCAACCGGCAGGCACTGCCAGCGCTGGCAGCCTGGCGAAGGCGGCAGCCGGGGAGCTGGAGGGGTTCATTGGAAGGGACCTACTGGATCAGACCAAAGCCTCCTTCGTGTCCCGTCTCCAAACATAGACAGCAGCAGATGCTCGGTTCAACTTCAGTTTCCCACGCACAAAAGCAGAGAAAAGTACTGACAAACATGCGAGAAAATGCCTGGTTGCCAAGATCCCTTAAGGGGGAAGAAAAAAACCCAACCCACCACCTAAACCCCAAACCCCCACCTGCTGCCCCGAAGAACAGCAATCCTCCCAAACCTCCAGTCCCACATTTATCTGCAAACAGGTCTGATCTCAGGAAAGCTGGGTCTCGGCGCACGTCTCATCCCAGCCCACAGCAGTCCTGACTGCAGGCAGTGGGTTGGACCAAGGCTTGCTTGGACAAGCCCCTTCTCCCCTCGCCTGCAGATAGGGGAGCAGCAGAGAGGGTCCTTGCTCCCACCTTCCCCCTCCATTGGGAACCATCTTCATTAGGGCACTGCAAAGGTGTTAATGAGCCTCAGGACTGAAGGATTAACAACTGTTTCCAAATAATGGGTGTTTGGTAGGTGGGACCTTGCTCTGGACCACAAGATCTCTGGGGCAGGAGGAGAGCCCAGCCCAGTGAGCTCCTGAGAGCAGCTCTAATGAGGGGGCCAGCAATGACTTCCCCGCACAAACCTGGCAGCACCCAGTACCCCCGCACTTGAATGACGGGGGGGTCCGGCAGTCCAATGACAGGCTCCACCATCCCATTTATTCCCCCTACACACTGACCTCTCTGGAGGCGTTGGGAGTAGCCTGAGTCATGATTCCTGAATGCGCAGAACTGCTGGTGTTGCACAAGCTGACCCTTGGGTTCTGCCCTGCAGCACCAAGGCTTTGGGAAGATAAGGAGTAAGCTCGCATCCCCCTCCCCCTCGCCCCGACCAGAGAAGTGCTGGGAGGAGAGGTGGAGGAGGACAGAAGAAGCCTTTACTCTCTGCGTACCCATGCATTTAACCAGGAAACCACTGCACAAGTGGGAATTTATGCCTGCTCCCCTGTGCCACGCTGCGGCTCCCAGCTCTTTCATCAGAAGGCTTCAGCTAACTCAAGAGGCCAAGCTTTTGATTTTGTTCAACAATTCAGATCACAAGGCACAGAAGAAAGCAAAGGAGAAAGAAGAAGAAAGCACAGAAGAAAGCAAAGGACTCCTTCCCTCAGAGTCAGCTCCCCCAATTCCCAGCAGCCTGGCCGAGGCGCCTCAGGGACACAGATGGGTTTCATGCCAAGAGAGGGGTGGGCCAACAAAAACAGATCCAAAAGTGTGAAATGTGTTACTATTCCTCAGAAGATGGAGTGGGATTTTCCAACTATTGGATTTATCTCCAGAGAATGGATTAACATAATCCTTAGAGGACACTTTGCAGCTCCCCCAATTCCCAGCAGCCTGGCCGAGGCGCCTCAGGGACACAGATGGGTTTCATGCCAAGAGAGGGGTGGGCCAACAAAAACAGATCCAAAAGTGTGAAATGTGTTACTATTCCTCAGAAGATGGAGTGGGATTTTCCAACTATTGGATTTATCTCCAGAGAATGGATTAACATAATCCTTAGAGGACACTTTGCTCAGGCTCGGTGTCCCCGTGCCAGAGCGTATGGCTGCCAGTAGCTTCAGCAGGGACAAGCAACACAAGTCTCCTGGTGGCACCGCCTGCGACAGCACCGCTTGCTTCAGAGCAAGTCCATCACTCTGTGCTTGAAAAGGGCCCAAATCCTGACTGCCCGCGGCCACTCACCCTGGGACACAGGGACTCCCTCAGGACACAAGCAAGGGGACCATCAGCGTGGATACCAGCAGGTACTGATGGACCAAGACACGCATTACATCCACTACACGTGCCATTCAAAGGTGGCAGCAGACAGCAAAGGTGTGAGTGTAAAAATAAAATTAAAAATTAAAACAATAAATCAGCGCGTACCACCTCAGGCCTGTGTTACCCCCCTGCAGTGAGCCCCAAGCAAGCTCGTCAGGAATCCCGGGCTGCCGGAGCAGAGACCGCTGATCCAGCTGCTGAGGGCTGGAACAACGTGATCCCCGCCGCCGGCACTATCAGCAACCCCGAGAGGGCTTTAGGAGACAGGCACATGAATCCCGGCACCCCAGTCGAGCATTTTTCTTCTTCAATCTTCCCCCAAAGTTCTGCTCTAAATCAGAATTCTTCATTTTTGTGACTTGCACTGGGTGCCTGGCCAAAACAAGAGCCACACGGGTTTAAGCGCTTGGGATTCTTGGGGGTAAAAGGAACTAAAGGAGTGTAAGCATTTAATTAATCTCCAGCAATCTAATAAAAGGATGGAGTAATTGCCTAAGCCATCTGCATTCTGCATCTGGCATCAGGAGCTGCTGGAGAAACCCACAAATTTGGAAGCTGGGTTTCGTACGGATTGTGCTTGGCGTTAGCATGTGCCACAGGATACAAAGTAAGAGGAAGAGGAGCTGCAAAGGCTGATAGGCACCACCCCATTAATGCAGCCAGACCAGCAGCAGGGGAAAGAGCTGAGGCGTGAGGAGACCGAGGGGCAACTGAACCCCTCTCCCACTCTTCACCCCCCAAGCTGGGCTACCCAAACCTGGCATGGAAGCAGCACAGCACTGCCGCCCAGGCACACGGGATTGGGAAGGGGAGATGCTTTGCCAGCCTCCCCACAGGTGAGTGGTGAGCAGGCGCTGGCAGTAAAACAAGCAGTTGGCTCCAATAATCCAGGAGCGAAAGGCCACAAAGCTGAATTTGCACGGTCTTTCCGAGGAAAGAGTTGCAAAGCAGGTTTAAGTTTGCTCCGTAAACAACTCCTCTGCTGTTCTGCTCTCTGCAGCACGGTGCTTGCCATCAGGCAGGCCATGGCCTCTGCAGAGGAACCCTCCCAGCCGCAAGAAGAGGGGGAAATAACACAACTTCAGCACCCTCCAAGGAGCCGCAGCCTTGCCCCTGGGGGCACCGCACAGGTTTAAATGCCAAAGCTGCGATTCTTCCCTTGCCAGCACCCGTGCTCCAAGGACAACGGTGCGCGACAGATGCCTCCCTCCCTGCCACTCAAAATCTTTTTTACACCAGGTTTTTTTCCAGGTCAACCTCACTTGGGAGTATCTCATCAGCGTTGCAACCGTATCCCCCAGGAACGGCAAAGGGGGGAGGATTTTATATTTCCCCTTTTCAAATTTCACAGCCAGCTACTTCCCGGTGCACTGCCGGCCAGCGCTACCTGCTCAGGGCTGGGCACCGCGGGTGGGTAGCTTGGCTTTTTCCCAGCCTGCCAAGAGAGCACAAGCACTCAGACTGTGGGAAGCCACAGCCTAAGCGGAGCAAGAGACTGAGAGGTCCCAACAGGGAAAGAAAAAAAAAATAAAAAAATAAATAGCGCTTCCTGCCAAATCTACTAGCAAGAATGGTTTATATATGTAAAGAGAAATAGTGAGCTTTTATTTTGGGCGGGCGGGCGGCCCTGACCTCTTGCACTGTGCTGCAAATGGCATGCGGTTCCCCCGGCAGCTCACACGATGAGTTTATCGAGCACCAGGGTACAAGGCACCCTTGGAGGAGACCCCCTGCCCCCCATCATACCGGCAAGCCAGCATGACCCACAGCACTGGAAACGCCGAGCAAAGCCCGAGCCCTGCGCTCTTTCCCGGGAAGGCGCACACCGTCCCTGGCTCTCCTAGGCCAACGTCCCCAAGCAACGCCACGGCGAGCCGAGGGGGGAAAGCAGGAGGGTGACCCTTCTCCAGTGCGACCCATGTTCAGCTTCAACATCCTTACGGGATGGGTGGGAAAGCCTCAGCAACTCTCTGCAGCCGAGTTTGGGGGAGAGCAGGCAATGCCAATGGGGAAAGCAGAGAAAACCCGAGGCTGTGCAGGAAGAGAGCCAGAAAGCTGGGAGTCCCGGGGGGCCGGGGGTGCAAGGGCTGGGCAGGGCCCCCCGCGGACACGCGCACCCCCCGCGCCCGCTGTCCACCTTGGCCTCGAAGCAGATGCCGTGCTGGAAGGCGTCCTCGTTGTGCAGGGGGATGCGGAGGTCGTGCCGGTCATCCACCAGGTTGTACTTGGACTTGGCGGGCATGGCGGCCCCGCGGCGGCCGG